CTGAGCCACCCAGGCGCCCTTTTTTAAAGATTTTAATTGTTGGGAGATTTAATTGTTGGGAGATTTAAATGGAGAAAATGGGAAGCACTTAACACAGGGCTGGGCCCCAGATGGGGTACTCAACAAATGGAGCTGCTGCCCCTATTACTGGTTTCATCACTGTCAACACCGCCACCAGCAAAGAAACGCAGTTGGGTCTTCCAGACCATAGGAAGAGAGACCATGTCCTCTCCTATGGGTTGACATCCAGGCAGGAGCAAGTTAAGGAGGTCCCCAGTCCTACTTTGTGGTCCACACTTCCATTCGACCTGCTCCATTCATTGCTGGTGTGGTGAACAGGTTGAGTGTTGGCATTAGTAAATGAAAATATGTTGGACTGTCACAAGTTGTGAGGCTTCTAGCTGGAAGCCAGCCAGGCTCAACAAAAACTCTCCAGGGACCGCCCACCCACGACTTAGACTAGAGCAGGTGGTTACTATTATTGTCAATCGGTGTTGCACTCCTCATTTTTGAAGATGGGGTAATTTCCTTAAGCACACTCTGTCCCCCCTTACCTTTCAAAGCTGGGAGTATCCAATAGGTTTGGAAGGGTAAGGCTGGGAAGGGCCTGGGGGCCGTGAGAGAGCACTGGGGTCCATGTCTATATTTCTGGCCTCTGGAGGCTAGGCAGAGCTCCTCACATGGTTTTCCTGCCCCCTCTCTCCCATCTGGTGTCCACCCCACCCCCAGTACACTACCAGAAGATCATCCACCGGGACATCAAACCTTCTAACCTCCTGGTGGGAGAAGATGGGCACATCAAGATTGCCGACTTCGGTGTGAGCAACGAGTTCAAGGGCAGCGACGCGCTCCTCTCTAACACCGTGGGCACACCCGCCTTCATGGCACCTGAGTCGCTCTCGGAGACCCGGAAGATCTTCTCTGGGAAGGTTGGTGTGGACCTGCCTGAGATGCTGAGTTCTGCCTGTGTTAGGGTCCTTTCAGTCTTAAGTGGCAGAAATCCGACCCAGACTGGCTTAAACAATGAATCCATTGGATCATGTAGATGAAGAGCGGCTTCCGGTTTGGCTAGATACAGGGATTCAAACAGGAATCCATCTTTCCATCTTTCAGCTGTTTTCTTGAGATGGTTTCCTGCCCAGGTGGGTGGGTACCCCCAGCTGTTCCAGGTTCCTTCCTATCAGCTTACCAACCTGAGAAGAAAGAGCATT